CCTAAACAAAAAAATGACATTTTGGACCACGGAGCATATGAACTTTGTTTTATACAAATCGAACAATAAATAATTAATCCAGGACTGAAAAACTAAATAAGCCAATGGGGGCCAAGGAAAAATAAGGTGATTAAAAATGTTGCCATTTTTGGTCAAATCAGATGACTCTTGAACCCTGGGTAAAATACCACATAAAAATATTCATTAATAAAAAAGTTTTTCGTAAAAATTTTAATTTTCAAACTTTGGCGCCTAATATCTCCAAAGATTCGTCGAAAATAAAAAATCTAAAGAACTGTAGCTATGTGTCTTGTCTCAGGCTGTCAAAATGTATCAAATATTACAATCCGACAATTATTGATAACATTACGGCAAAATTTCGAAAAACGACAGAACGTGTCGCAGAACGTTAGAAATAGCTTTAAAATTTAAGTCAAACCCACTTTCCCAGTAAAACCGAAGACATCGAATCGATCCGACAAGTAGTTTCTGAGATATACTCAAATGGAATAATAATAATAACAATAGTGTTTCACACAAGCTACGCAGTGTGAAACCCTAATAATAATCCGAACAAAAACAATAGTGTTTCACACAAGCTACGCAGTGTGAAACCCTAATAATAATACGAACAAAAACAATAGTGTTTCACACAAGCTACGCAGTGTGAAACCCTAATAATAATACGAAATATGTTCCAAATTTTATAAATTTGATTACCCCAAATCATGATTGCGATTTAATCATGTTATATCGTGATAAACTATAACACATACTTATGGAAGAAAAATTACTGATTTATTCACCCGATCCGCCTATTATTAGCCTGCTAGTAGTAGAAAGTTGTTAGTCATTTTTAGATGCTCGTAGCAGCGTAGAAGAAAGTCCCTGTTACAGCCACGGTTATACCTCCATTAAAAGTCAAATCGGAATCTAGGCCACGACGAATCCCTAGTAACTCACTATTTTCAAAAATGACCGAAATATAAATTTACATTTGTTACAGAATCAGAATATTCCAAATCTTTCTAGAACTTTTGATTTGATGAATTTACATAGCTAACAAATGTTTTCATACTTTAGCATTCGATACATTTAAAACGAAAGGACAAATTACGTGGGGTTTTTTACTTTTATTAAATTAGTAGGCCTACAAATCGTTACTGCTATAGTCAGAAATACGATTGTAATAGATAATAGATAAGATCAGATTTTAATGTACCAAAACATCCATTAAGACGGGAAGAATACTCCTATAGTAAAGGGAGCAAATTATAAAATGGTGGATCAAAAAGCGACTCAGAACTGTTCGAGAGAAGTTTATGCAATGTACAGTGTATATGTTATAATTGTCGAAATTAGAATATAGGGACCTCTGAAAAGAAAGTTCATTAAATAATAATATATATGCATACAGCGCACAGTTTCCTCCTATAAATAGGATAGGGCCTTGATTATCTACACAAAATCTCATCTTTAATCCCTATTTTAGTATTATTCATAAATATTTTGGCCGCAGTAAAATATTAGTAATTTAGTTGTTTATTAAAGAAGTACACATTTCGTCAATAACCAGAAAATGGGAATAAAGTTAGTTTTCCAAGTCTCGATTTATTTATTAGGAAAATTAAAAATTATACGGCCCTTGTTAGTTACTACTATAGTAGATAACAAAGGCTGCCCTTTTTAGTTGTTACTGTAACGGCTAACAATTTACCCCCAGAGGCACCCTTAGCGCTGCTACGAGCATCTAAAAATGACTAACAACTTTCTACTACTAGCAGGCTAATAATAGGCGGATCGGGTGATTTATTTGGGCGACATTTCAAATATGTGTTATAGTTTATTGCTCTATCCAGTTACTAAATGCCTCTAAAAGATCGTTATATCGTGACTTAACGCCCGTCACATTTAGTTTCAATCAAACCTTACCGTATATGATCATATATTATACGCATGAGCGGATTGACTTAAACGGCCAAATGGAAATACTCGATGATAATGTCTCAGTCATTTATACAAGGGGCTTAAAATCTGGAAAAAAACCCAACTTACCATTGATAATATGTTAACTAATACAAGAAAACATCTAATGATAGCATGCGCTGAAGAATTTACAGCCCTCCTTTTCCCCATTTCTAACGCTTGATACACTGAAAAAAACCTTGTGTTGAAACAACACAAACTTGTGTTGGTTTCAACACAAGTAAGGTGTCTCTATTTAACAACACAAACTTGTGTTGAAACAACACAAAACTTGTGTTAAATGTTGAAACAACACAAAACTTGTGTTAAAATGTATCAAACAACACAAAACTTGTGTTGAAACTTGTGTAAAATCTACACAATACTTGTGTTGAAATTTCTGAAACTTGTGTTGAAATTTCTGAAACTTGTGTTAAAATTTCTGAAACTTGTGTTAAAATTTCTGAAACTTGTGTGGTTTCATACAAACTTGTGTATAACCATCAACAAAAACTTGTGTTGTATTTTTCCCCAATTTATATCCAGTATAGCAACCTTTCTATGCAGGACCCCTCTCTTTGCTCTGTTAGACCTGTAAAGTTTGATAAAAGAAGGAAACCAAAAAAAATTTGTAAGATTATTATTTATTCATAAAATCATAGGAAAAGGTAAATTAATACATCAAAATAGATATTTGAAATGTTAACAGAAAAACAGAGAATTCTAATACTAATTATATTGTGTTGTATATAATGACCCCCCCCCCCCCCCCCACTTTACCCATCACAAAATATAAAATAGCTATTTAAATTGTTCTTTACCCCAAAACAAGAACTGAGAATATAAAGATATGTACACAGTATCCCTACCCCATACCCCAAAATATATAATTCAAATATATCTAAATTTAATAACATCCAATTCAAGCACTAATAAGATTAATTATGCACTAAATTGAAACAATTTCAAAAACTGAAAAGTGCTACAAAATCACACTACAAGTGATTTGTGAGGCATCTAGAAATAACTAGCATACACAGAAAACTAACAAAAGAAAAATGCACTATTTTGCAGGAGTAATAAAATGATGTATAGCCTTTTCCTCATAACAAAAAAAACCCAAACAAAATGAATATTTTATAAATAAAAGAAGCAAAGCATCAAGATTACAGAATTGAAATAAAAAAATATCATATGTACAAAAAAATTATATACAACCACAAGTCATAAGCCACAGTGGTTCAGTGAGTATAAGGCGTTGGCCGAGAAATTTCAACTGGATTTTCCGGCCTAGTTCCCACTTTTCAGTAGTGTTGGATATGGCAAGGGATAATTGGGTACAAGCCTGGAATCAAAAGAGAGAGAGAGAGAAATGGGGTTTAACGTCCACTCGACACAAACTAGGTTATTTCGGGACTAACATATGGTTTAATTTTATTTCAATAATTCGCTTGCGCGTAGGGGTCTTTAGCAGTGGGAGGAAACCGGAAGTCCCGGAGAAAACCCACAAGATTGGACAGGCGACCCTACTCCTTGTCTACAACCGGGGATTCGAAACCATGCCAGTTGACTCAATGACAGGCCGTATGATACAGCACGAACGTGCTAACCATTCGGCCACCCCCCACCCCCCTCACCCCCCAGAATCGAAACCAACCCAACTGCGTTCACTTTGAAGAACCCTTGAAAATTGAATTATTTGACTCAATGACAGACCTTCTGATCAAATGTGTGCGTGTTAACCATTTGGCCCCCCTGAGTTCCCTTTAAAGAACCCTTGACAGTTGAAATATTTGATATAAGAGTAGGGTAGAATCACTCTAAGAACACAGAAAAGCAGGATATTAAACCGTATTTCATTTCATAAGCAAGGGAAAGTCACCTTAATGTAGGTCAAGGTTTTTTGTAATTCTGGGTGTATTTGATCTACATTTGGTTTCTAGTAATGCCTATTAAATACTTTATGATTTCCGACCAAATTCTAAATGATTTATATGTCACTTTACTTGCTATATTATACATACATATTTGAAGAGAATTAAAATCTAATTGTGTTTTGGAAGAAAATTTAACATTAATAACAAAAAATAAATATTTAAAAATTGGGTCAAATGCATTCTTTCCCAGAAGTATAAAATAAATTGATGCTTGGGTTCTCTTGTTATCATGCATCAAATACTCTTTCAAGGGTGTTCCAGCCTAAAAAATAAAAAGTAGGCAATAAGAATACAATGTTTAAATAAACAATTTATTTTGCCACATCGAGACTGAGTCTCTATTTGGTTTCAACTTTGCGTAACGCTTATTGTGTCTTGTCCACTTAAAGACCCAGGCAGATTATTATGCTCAAATCAAATGGATAAAAGAGAGAAAAATGAAATGAAATGGGGTTTAACGTCCTACTGTTCAACTCCTATACTCGGCTAATGAAGACGGGCATATGCCACACAGTGTGCTATGAGGGATATTTTGCCCGGGCAGCGGCACTATCGTCTACTCTTATATCGAATTCCAACTGCCAGGGGATCTTTTACGTGCATTCCAATATTCGTCTCATCCGAAGGACTAGACAGCTGTCCTTGTCAGGCTAAGTCAGAAAAAAGTCTTGAGATTTGGGACTGAAGTCTCATAATAGGTCAACTATTCACCCGGTTCATACATGTATTGTCTGCAAATCCAGATTCCCTACTACATCATGGCAGCACCTATTTACTTGGCAATGTCTAATTATTTTTGGACCCATTCTTATTTTATTTCCATTGACAACAAATTGGATATTACCCTTTAAAATCTATTGAAATCTATTTGAAAAGTAAAATATTGTCCATCATTATTTTACTGCTATTTACTGTAAAAATACACATAGGCCCTATCAGAACTTGAAGGAAATCAATGGATGTGATTGGCAAAAATCAAGCATGCCAAGTACTTAAAATAGCAGAGTCCTAGGCATTGCCCCAAGAAGAATAACTAGATTACCAAGCAAGTGTATAAAACTACTTCCTGATTAAAAATACAAATATGTATGTTGCTTACAATTTGCCTGATTATCAAGCTCTGTGAGAAAAGTTTCCACAATATGAATAGCCATTTCCAACTGTTTTTATCTTTCTGATGTAGTTAACTGAGAAAAAAAACATACATGTATTAGATGACTTAAATTGACTCAACAGTTAAAAGATGAAAGTTTTAATTTACAGTATATATTTTACACAAATTTCTGGAGAGAATTAAAATATAATTGTGTTTGAGAGGGATATTTAACATTAAAAACAAAAATAAAATATTTAAATAACAGGCCAAATGCAACAGATAACTTATTAGCTTTTACAATCACTACATTCTTTTTCAAAATTATAAGGAGATCACGTGGCTAAATGGGTACGACGCTGGCTCGCTAGCCTGGAGGTCGGGTGTTCGATCTCTGAATTGGCTGAGAAAGTTCATCCAGATTTTCCGACGTGTCTTCCCCTTGTCAGTGATACAGGACGGAGGACCTGACAAGGACAACTGTCTAGTCGTTCGGATGGGACGAAAAACCGAGGTCCTGTGTACACATTGGCGTGCACGTAAAAGATCCCTTGGCAGTTTGAATTCGATATAAGAGTAGGCTGTAGTGCCGCTGCCCAGGCAAAATTTCCCTCATAGCACACTGTATGGTGTATGCCCGTCTTCATTAGCCCAGTTTATGAGCTAGGATGTAGGATGTTAAACCCCATTTCATTTCATTTTCAAAATTATAAAATAATTTGATGGCTTAATATTCAAGTATTATGACCAGGTAGAATTAGAGCATAGTTAATTTGAGGCCCCAGCCATTATAGATTAGCCAGAATCCTAATTAAAATAAACTCTGTAATTATATTAGAGAGACATTGTTTCATAAATTATTATCTATTGTAAAGTTAATCCAGTAAGGTATTAAGGATTATAAAGTTAGGGTAACTAAGAAACAAAGCTAAGGTATAAAAGTCCTGAAAATTGTATATATTAGAAAAAGGCGAGTTAACCACAGGCAGGCAGCGGGACATACTGAAGGGCAGGTCTCTGATATAGTGACAAGTTATTTCTTAGATGCTGTTCCTTATTACGTTACCTAGCCTGTGGGTCAGTATTATATGTATATATTATCATTGTCAGATATTGTTACAGAATATAAGATTATACTAAGAGAAGTGAGTTATTGAATTATTGTATGTTCAATCGTACACCTCCAACTAGATTGAACATACAACCCATCGTCGAAGGTTGGACTATAAGTAGGTCCATAAACCCCAGATGATAGTATATGGTTGAGTTGGCAATAAATATACTTTCTACGGTTCAGAATTATTAAATAAACAACTTATTTTTCCACACGTTGAGTCTCTATTTTGTTTCAACTTTGCATAATACTTATTGTGCCTTTTCAAGTTACAGACCCAGGTAGATTATTATGCCTCAATGGGTCAGAAGCCAGAACAAAAGTCTTGAAAAAAAGACAATAATGAAAAAATAATCATTTGATTTACCAATTGTCTCCACTAAGGCAATTGTGAATACAGTATTGCAAACAGTATTACAATATGATATTAATTATATTTTACAAATTCATGCATTTGAACGCTTCATAATAATGATTATGAAAGGGTGTAACATTGCATCCATCTTATAGTTTTGAAGTAATATATCAAAACTGTATATCAACCAAACAAGCCTGCTGAGTTTCATGTTGATCGTATTTGAAATGGCATAGCGCTAGACTATGCCCCAAAAAGAAGAACTAGATTACCAAGTGTATAGAGAGAGAGAGAAATGGGGTTCAACGTCCACTCGACACAAACTAGGTCATTTCGGGACTAACATATGGTTTAATTTTATTTCATTAATTCGCTTGCGCGTAGTGGTCTTTTGCAGTGGGAGGAAACCGGAGGACCTGGAGAAAACCCACGAGGTTGAACAGGCGACCCTACTCCTTGTCACGTACAACCGGGGATTCGAAACCACGTCAGTTGACTCAATGACAGGCCGTATGATACAGCACGCACATGCTAACCATTTGGCAATCCACCCCCCCCCCCCCCACCAAGTGTATAGAACCAGTTAATGATTCAAAAAGCAAATATGCATGGTACTTACATAGCCTTTGTCTGATAAGCAACATCTGTGAGAAAACGCTTCCACAATATCAATAGCCCTTTCCAACTGTCTTGATCTTCCGAGGTGGGTAACTGAAAAAAAATATGCAATGTATTAGTTGGCTTAAATTGACTAGACAGTTTTGATTAAGTCAAAAAATGTTAGTAGGCCATAGTGTCGTTGCCCGGACAAACATTTTCTCTTAGCACACTGCATTAGACCAGTCAGAGCTGAACAGTAGGACGTTGTCTTTAAACCCCATTTCATTTCAGGTAATCTAGTATTTTTCTAGTAAGATTGAAGTCTCTCTACTTTCTTTATATGTAAATATCATATTTGAAATAAGCCATACTTTTATTCAATATGGGGTGGGGCTGGGGGGAGTTAATGCATGCACATGAAATCACAGGGTCTGTCATTGTGTTAAGTGGCATGGTTTCGATTTCAAGGAGTAGAGTCGCCTGTCCAATCTCTTGAGTTTTTTCTCTGGGTCATTCGATTTCCTCCGTTTGCTAAATAGTAAAATACCCATACCCGCAAACGAATTATTCATATTAAATTTAACCTTACCTGTCCTTTTTCCCGAAACGACCTAGCGTCTGTAGGCTAAGTAGAATGGAACAGTGTGCAGGGAAAGGGTGGAAACGGAAGTTAGCTAATCGTCGTCGTAGTTGATTACCGGTATGCATATAGGCATAGCTTGGACTACTTGATTCTTCAAATACAAGTACATGTAAGGCCTTGTTTATGTCATTTTTCTCTCTCTCTGTTGCATGTAAGTGTCATATAAATACTTTACTTAATTGGGATTGTATGTTCACATACACTAATCATTGTAGGACATTGGTAAAAAAAAAAAATAGAAAATATAAAAATTAAATGAAATTGTTACCAGTTTTTCTTCAATTCAATGCCAATGGAGTCCTTGAACGGTAAATTCTCAATAATTGCTGTAAGGTGGAAAGAGTCATATCATCACTGACTGGAAAAAATAATAAAACTATAGAGAAACTAGAGAGACTGATTCTAGTTCCATTATTTATTATTTATTAACTGTGACTGAATCAGGAAAATAGGGGCCTAATAATATTACACAGAGTCAGAGGTTGAACGGAGAATTGGGGAAAGTATCTGCTTATTTGATTTAAGGTTGTTTTTTTTAAACATAAATTAGATTACAATTCAACTAACACAAAAGTGTAAAAAGATTTTTTCTAGTCTGTGCCCGCGTTTATGTCTACTCTTGGCAAAATCTTTATAATATAAAAAATCATGAAACAAGAATCAAAATGGCCGCCAATCGGGTCTCCCACGCCAATCCAACCTCCCAAGATATAATTTCAAAACAGATTCTTACCTGCTGGTTCAAGTCGAGCCGTTTCTGGTTTAATCATAATGTGATTCTGTAATGTAAGTATTTGAACAACATCGTAGCGCCGAACAACTAATGTTAATTAAGCACGATTTCAGAAAAATTGAACAGATTTGATAATAACATGCCGAAATTTTTTCCCTGTCCCCGCCATTTTAAACATGAACTTCCGGGTTAAATTGTTGGATTTTTTTTTAAGGAAACGAAATACTAATATTATACACAAAAACAATATCGATGCTAAATTACATACATGGTATTATTTTGTTTTATATAAATATTCACAAACCTGCGGTCTTTTATTCTCTGTGACCATTAGCTTACATTTGTCAAACATATCACTGCTCAAAAATCATTTCAGCACGCTGTTAAATGGTAAATGAATTGTGTGCAATCAATTCATTTAATGTCCGGTTGCACCGAGATGATATCGCAGACAAAATGTAGCCTATAGTACGTTGATTTTATCAACCAATCACATTAAATAATAGTTTTACTTATTTTCCTGTCAACGCATTTGGAGTCAATTGTTAAAATCACACCGGGCATGAGCGCTCAATAGGCCTTTGATCTACCAGTTTATTGGGCCCATAAAAAATCAACAACTTTATTTTAACTACAGACATCTTAACACCAATTAGCATTCAAGTCTGTCTGGCCATCATGTCTGAGTAAAAAATACTTTTCTTATACTTGTGGACGCCCGGATTAAGACTTTGTATGGAGTTCAAATTTAAAAAAAAAATATTTGTTGACGGTACACATTACTTGTGTTAATTATATGAAAAAACCCACAAGATTTGTGTTAATGCATTAAAAAGAACACAAGTTTGTGTTAATGCAATGCAAAACAACACAAGTTTTGTGTAGAATAATTTTCACACAAGTACTTGTGTTGAGATCCAACACAAGTTTTTTTTCAGTGTAGAAGTATATTCAGTTCAAACAAATTCTTGGAAATTAGAACTAGTCTTGAATAACAGTCATCAAAGTAGAGGAGGGGCTTGGCCTCCGCACCTTGGTAACGTGTTCATGATTGACAGCTGTCAGCCTACACCTCACAAATAAGAGAACTAATTTGAACAATTGGATGCGGACCACTAGTAATATCTAAATTGACTACGAAATGAAATATCCAAAAAAAATACTCGCCTTCAGCGACCGCCAAAGGGAGCTTGGCAGAAAAATTTTGAAAATTAGATGGCCACAAACCTGTTTTCCTGTTATTCCAGGCTGTGAGTTGAGCAACTTGAAAGTGGTCCAATATGGCCTTTTTTATCCCACTCTTTGCCAACCTGGCTTTTAACCTGACACCGGAAATTTAACTTCCCCCTCCCCCAAATTGACGAAATAATCACGATGTCCGAAAAAAAAAAAACGGAGCCGCAGACCGCCCGCTGGCGCCGAAACAAATAAAAATGATGCCAAAAAATATTGTTTTTATTACATTGATTACATTTTCAAAATTTTAATCCATTAGTCAATTAAAAAAAATTACGATTCCCGAAAAATCTATATAATATATAATGACGATGTCCGAAACATATACTAATTCACCGTATTAATTAATATAAAGTAAAACTGGTGTTTTATTATCAGATGTCGGATACTTTATCTTGCAGACTATCGGGCAAAATACTTTTTTCTCCAAAAAGTGTGTACACTTGACCGGTTTTTCGCCCCATCCTAACGACTATAAGTTGTCCCTTGTCAGGCCCTCCATCCTGCACCACTGACAAGGGGGAACCACCCCTGACACTCCGATGAACTTTCTCGGTCAGATATACATTAATTTGGCATACTTAAGGATTGCTCTAAATGCCTAACACGTCCCTAACTCGGCTAGCGAATGAGTCTGACACTTTGGACTAACTCGGAGGTGGATTCTAATTATTTTTAAAATAATTACAATTCTAAGAAGATTCATTTGAAACAGCAGCATGGCAGCAATGACGAGCGTCGAACAAATTTATTTCTCAACGACTCACATTCCGATTAAATAAACGTATGCTTTCCAACAAACAGTAATATACTTCACTCTTTCAACTATATACAAAACATTATTTTTTGAAAAATAAACACATATACATGTTGACTGGCTAACATTACAGAAGAAGAAGAAGAAGAAGAAGAAGAAGTGTTTATTAAAGTGTCACACGATGTACATTTACATATCATAATCGAGTTAAAAACTTAATTAAAAAGAACATCGCCCGGCCATGACGGCCTATGGGACACTGGACATATATATATATACATTTATATGTATATACATAATTATCTAAAATACAGATTTATATTAAATAAAATATCCTGTTATAAAATAATATCACATATCTTTTAAAAAAAGGGCTCTCCTTTGAAACATATCAAATATAAAATTGCATATCATACTGGGGTTGATATCACAAGAAAAAATACTTATTACTTTCTCTTTGATAGACATTTTATAGAAATTTGCGTCTATCTTATGCATTTCTCTAAAAGGTCAATAACGAAGGTCGGAGTACATTTTGCATTCAATTAAAAAATGGGATTCTGTCTCAATTTCTGAGCAGAAGGGACATAATCGACAAATGCATGGGGTTGGGGGGTGACTGTATCTCAGTGTTTCGATCATTAGATCAGAACTACCGCTGCGTAATAATGACGTGGCTTTACGTATATGGCGTGGGAGATTGTTAACTAAAACATAAGATTCGGGTTTCAAATCCTTTTTAAACAAACGATAGGTTCTCAATTTGTTGCCATTAGGGTTTTTACTGTCATTCCATAACTCTTGGAACCATTTACTCTCGTCATTTTGGAATAAATGACGCTTTAAAGCTTTTAAATGAGACTTGTTTATAGATTCTACATCACATATATGACTTATTCTAAGATTTTTTACCAGGGCGTGTACGTTCTTTTCCCAAGATTTAGCTCGTCTGAGTGACCAATTACTAATTATAACAGGTAATCTGCTACTAGGTAGACTTTTTAAACGACAAAATAATCTCAGTACTTCTGTTCTCTGTTTCGTGAGACACGAAGTCCATCCCATATCCCCTCTAGCTGCTAAGTTTGGGCTGTTCCGTTTTAAACCAAGGAAGACTTTACATGCTCGATTTTGGACACTGTTCAATTTATGGTGCTCAGTAATGCCCCAAATTCGCGCCCCATAGAGGATGATGGGTTGAACCAAAGACTCATAGAGCCTAGTGAATATGTTATATGGGAATCCTCCTGCCTGGAAGTGTTTTGAACAAAGGGCCGCCAGAGCTCTGCTTGCTGACTTGGATAGCTCATTAACACACAAATTAAAATTCAGATGCCCATCTAGCCATAGTCCTAAGTATTTATAGCTTTCACAATAATCAATATTCAAATTTCCAATAGTAAATATTCTCTCCGATACTTGCCATGTAGATGGTCTAAAATGTACAATTTTAGTCTTTGATTGATTTACAGACAAACGCCATTTATAGCACCAAGAACTAATTTCATTTAGCATAATTTGCAGTTTGTCTTCTGACAGTGCAATTAAAGCAATATCGTCTGCATACAGTAAAATACCAACATTACAATTATCAATATCAACGCCACAATTTAATTCCTTTATAGCTGTAGCTAGATCGTTAACGTAGATAGAAAACAGTAGTGGTGATAATGGGCAGCCCTGTTTAACGCCCACTTTTGCATCAAACCAAGGAGTAAGTCGACCATTTACACGAACGGAACACCTTACATCATTGTATAGGGCCTTTACAGCATGAAAAGTTTTTCCACTTATGCCTGTTTTTTTGGATTTTATACCACAAACAATCTCTATCTACGTTATCGAAGGCTGATTTCATGTCCACAAAACAACAAAATGTGGATTGCTTAGCTTTGATTCGGTTTCTAACTACGCTAGTGAGAGAAAATAAATGATCAATGCAATTTCTATCTTTGCGAAAGCCATTTTGCCCTTCTACAAAACTATCATTATTTTCACACCATTTGCTAATTCTGGCATTTAGGACGTCTGCATATATTTTGCATGGAATAGACAAAAGGGATATACCCCTATAGGACAGTGGCACATGCTTGTATGTATTTGCTTTCAGAGTGGGATTTATAATACTCATGTTCCATTGTTCAGGGACTACGCTATTTTCAAAGCAAAAACTACAAATTCTATGCAAAATATCAATACATATGGGTTTTTTTTAGACTCTTGGCCGGGATTGTATCTATACCCGTGGCTTTTCTGAGCTTGGCATCATCTATTACATTTTTAATTTCAGCCACAGAGATGGGTTCATTAAGTTCACCACGGTTTTCGTCACTTCCTGATTCAAGGGATGAAAACACTTGATTTTGTATACCGTGTAGGTGCTCTTCGTCGAATTCACTTAAATCTAGATTTTTATTGTATAGTTGAGAAAAGTCATCTTTCCAGTGTCTCAAAACGGTTTCCGTGTCCGTCACAAGTCGGCCGTCAGAATCGAGTACTTCCAGTGGAATTGCACTTCTGCGCTCATTCGCGATACCTATTTTATCAAAGGATTCCCAAAAGTCCCGTGTGTTATTACTTGAAAATTGATTTAATAACTCATTTTGTTTCTGATTTAAATAATCACGTTTATGATTTTTCAGAGATTTGTCGAAACGTTTTCTCTCCTGAATAAAAACACTGTGTAAACTTTTTTTGCGCGACTTGGTTTTACATTTGATCCACGCTCTTTCTTTACAACGTACCAAACTCCAGTGATTTTCTAACGTTTTGTTCCAATATGGTTTACTTCTCTTCTTCAGTTTCTTGCAGCATCTTCTGACGTTCTGTTTATCCGGCTTTAATTCACTAACTAGAAAGTCCACAAATGATTTATAAGCAAGATTAATATCACTTTCTGTGTTTAAATTTGATTCAATTTCACCAATTTTATCTATAATATGCGGTGTATATTCGTCAAAGAAATTTTTGGGTACATGCAATTTTGGATGATGTATTCCACTTGAATTGTAAGGACCCGGACTGTCCGTGTCCGAATATGCATTAGCAATATTATCAGTAAACTCTAGTAAGGAATGGTCGGGTATTTTTTCTGGAACGGCTATGTCAAACCGTTGAATCAGTTCATACATTCGCCATACCTGGAAATCTGAATAAAGATTAAGCTGCTCATGTGGAACAACAACATAATCGACAACTGATCTACCTGTTGTACTGACGTATGTGTAATCATTTTGTCCGTGAATACGCCCGTTTAACATACAAAAATTAGTGTCACATAGAAAGTTAACAAATTGTGTTCCATAACTGTTTTCTGTGTTGTCTAGAACAGATCTTTGTGGTACTTCATCGACGCCTAAGATATAATCAACCTGATCTCCGACCCGTGAGTTAAAGTCTCCACCGATGCACACAAATCCTTCATTCTGGAGAGAGTAGACCTGATTTAGCAAGTTATTATAAAACTGCACCGCGTCCACCCTATGGGTTGAACCATTCGGGGGTAGATAGCAAACGCACAGACATAGGCTTTTGTCACACGCCCTTGATTTTAATTTTATCCACAGCACGTCTTCAATGGATTCATCCAAAACAGATACGTGGAATTGGTCGAAAACACATGCTTTAATTAAGAACCCGACACCGCCCGAGCCACGTTTAGCATTTTTGTTGAGATTTCTTCGATTTCTCCCAAACCACTTACAATACAGTTGGCAATCATCCATCCTTTAATACAGATTGATGTAATCAAATGAAATAAAACTAGTAATTATGTCGGCTAAATTCATTACGTAGTTCATTTATCATATCCCCGTCTTTATCAACCCGACAGATACAGAAAAGGAGATTAATAAACCACATTTCATTTATATCGGTTGCTTTTCAGTTTGGGTTCACCTTTCTTCCCATTGTGTTATTTGCCATTTCACGTACAATGCCATAAACATTTGACTTTCGGGCATGGAATAAATTTATTTCTCAATTTCTAGAGGTATAACCTAGTTTGTTTTAATCTAAATTAGTTCCTTTAGCCACGGTCTCTGATCGGACGCTTGTCCACTGACAGTTCCTAACCGTCCCTATATAGCTGCATAATATGAAAATACCGTTCTTCCCCACCTCTGTTCCAATGCGATTTTGGAATCCTTGCCGATTCTTTTTTATTCGCCACATCTGACACAAATTTCTAATAATTCAACACTATTTTCAAGTAGAATTTTGCGAGTAAAAACATACACAAAATACGTTTGGACTGGTCAGCCATTACGAGACTCGCAAAATTTTACTTGAAAATAGTGTTGAATTATTACAAATATTTGTCAGATATGGCGAGAAATGATGCCTTTTGGTGAAAAATAAAGAATCACAGTGAGAAATAGAAGGCAAGGATTCCAAAATACATTTAGAACAGAGGAGGATAGATAGGAACGGTCAGTGGACAGGCGTCCGATCAGAGACCGCTCCTGAAGGATATAATTCCGATTAAAACACCTTGTGCTTTATCTCTAGAAATTGTTCTCCATCATGTAGGTCTTATTGTTTGTCTTGGATTTACGGATATACGAGGACTGGCTAAAGAGTTCTAAGAATAGATCAATTGGGTTGAAACCAAATTTTACCACCAAGTACATGTACAATCATTGACTGAATCATAGACATAAGAACTTCAACTGTAGTGTTATTAGTGTCTTCGTAACAGACTATTTTGTGAACCTACCCATTGAAATCACCAGAAATGGACAAAATTGACTAAAGGGGAGTAATCACGTATCTGCAACTGAAAGGACCAATCCCAACACAGATAAATGCCGACATGATCTCCACTTTCGGGGATGATGCAAGAACACATTAGCCGGGTGCATGACATGGTGATGGCTGATCGACGATTGACCACTCAAGATATTGCCAGTGTTGTGGGCCCCTATCCTGTGAGGGTTGAACACATTATCCCCAGTGAATGGTAAAAGTTTCTGCAAGTTGGGTGCCAAAGCTCTTGACTGCGGATCCGAAACTTGCCAGTTTCCTCACGTCCGGTGACAGAGTTACATATGTTTCCTAGTAATGATGACGGCATGTCACATGTCACAGACTTGTTTTAGGGTGGCTGAAGAAAACTTCTTTCTGACCGGCATCCAGGCCTTGCGACATCGTTGGCAAAAAATGTACACCTCGTACATTATGTTCATATAAACAGAATACATAGATTTGTGTCTTATCAAAGATGGCCTAACAAAAGATTCACACCCTATTCAGACACAGTTTTGAAGTAACAGATATGCAATGAATGCTAGGACATTTAAAACAAATCTTATGGAAAACCGATTAATGGCATTCCAAGTATCGTGTAATGGACAATTACATTTGAATTACTTTTTTTTTTTTTTTTAAAATCATTGCAAAAATCGATATTCTCAGCCCCTTTTCGTACGTGTCAAGAAAATTGGAGATTGGTCAATCATTAAGGGCCTCTATTAAAGATGCATTATGCAAGATTAAGATAAAGAGCTGGCCGTTCTTGCTATAATAGTTCATAAATCGATAATGAAACATAAATAAATATATTAAAAATTTCAAATTACTCATTTCTGAGCAAACTTATTAAACTCTGAAATGTTCACAGTATAGTCTCGATTGTCAAGTACGGTAATAAACAAAGTCTCGTTTATCCATTTTTTAAATTAAATTATTAATTGATGGGGTGTTTCAAATCATTTAATATCGCGACCACCCGATAGTCTAGGGAGTTGTTGGTTATAGGCTTATGTGCACAGAGGTCTAATTAATAAATTTTATATAACATTTCAGGCCAAAATAAAGACCTGCTATAGGCAGCTTTAACTCTTACATAATGCATCTTTAAGTAATTAGTTGTCGAAGAACACTGAATGGGGATCGTCATTAGAATATATTATCTATTTACATACAAACAAAACTCGGTAGATCTAATCGTACCCCACCCCAGTTATAATTAAATGGTAAATATTATCCAATTCTTCTCACGTGAATACGGTTTTTAGATAATTATATTATGTACATCTTTACACAATTCATGATTTTCTTTTCTGAAACGAAAATAAATTATCGTAAATGGAAACTATCTATATGTATATCTAAGTACATTTAAATAGAGGGGTTGAGAAATGGGGGTTTTATATAGTCAAGACATTTTAACCCGACAATACGACATTTTCACCCGATTGCGCGACATTAAAAATGTCGTAATGTCGCGTAAAAATGTCATATTGTCGGGTTCAAATGTCGGGTTGTCGGCCAATACTAGGATTATGTACACTGATCCTGGTGTTAGTCAAGAAAGTCCCCCTAGATTTTGGAGTGTGGGTCTCACTGTCGGTAGTGCAGGACGAAGGGCCAGGCAAAGAACGGTGTCTAGTCGTGTAGAAGGAACAAAAACACAAGCACCCGCATAAAAGATAAAAGAACTCTTCACAGTTGGAATACGATGAAGAAATGCCAGTGTCTATAACGCTCTGCTGAGGGTATGTCTATCTTCAATAGTCCGATTGGTGCAAAAAAGTAGGAAAATTAAATGAAATGGAATGGGGGTTTAACGTCCTACTTTACGTGTATATATTCTCTTGTTATATTTCATATTTTATCATTGCTTGAAGCCCAGTCGAAACGTCGCTCAGCAATAAGCAAAACAACCACAGATTTGTGACCCGTATACATATGGCCGACATCACGACAACCCGGCTTAAAATGTCGTAATATCGTATTATCGCCTTATGACATATTCCTAAAGCAATGGCCCGAGAAATCCCTCTCTGGCCATTGCTGGATTGGCTTCTGATACTTGAGCTTTTGAGGGAGTGTATATTCTTCTCGTCCAATCAAATCTATGCCATGTACAGCATGACAGCCCTTCGTTCAATCTCGGATCTTCTCTGAAACTTTGGACAGTGATTTAAGGTATTAAAAGCGTTGAAAATATTGTTCGTCTCCGAACAGTATTGTTAACATTGTATCCGTGTTTATAGCCTCGTTTGTCACGCAATTACTTTTTCTGCGATATTCTGCTATGTACTGGTTAATTGGGCATCATGTAACGTTATGTAAACACATTTGGTGCAATTTGGAGCTCTGTTTAAAGCGTAATGATATTGTTACGCAGTTAGCTATTGGTTGTTAATTGAACAGTCATAATTTGGAACAGAAATGAAATTTGCTTCCTTTACAGCAGTGTAAAGTGGGATTAGCTCTAATCAAACGAAACACTGCGATGAGTATGCCTCATGACATGATACCAATCAGCCTCCATAGTTTTGCGTCATTGACTAGACATTAAAGAAGCTAAACGTCTTTGGTTGAGGTCGGTTATTTCAATTAGATCGGACAAGATCTATATAGGTCTTTAGTATCGAAACTGGAACACAAAGACACATTTATCTCAACCAACACTGGCTGTTATTGACATCTAACAAACAGATCAACATTTAAAATACATTCTAGTTTGTGGTTGATCACAAACGATCTAACTGTTGACTTGTGCTACCCTATACGCTTGCTACGACACAGTTCAGCTGTGTGTAAATCGGTCTGCTTGATTTGTCCGCTGATGGGCGAGCCGGTTTCTACAAGGGGATCAGAATAGGACACACGAATTGGTATACTTTGTTAATTTAGTCAGATAAGATGGATTTTATATACACACGACAGCTTTGATTAAATAATTAATATTGACAGATCCACTAACCTCCATTACACTGGTCCAACCGAACCTTTACCAATATCTCTGATTACATAGGCAGCAAAAACCACTTCCAACAGCTAAAATAATGGGATACCATCAAAATATTTAATTATCAAAACCTTGACAATACTAGCCATATTAATTTATCTGTGGCTATTATTCCCCGTCCAAATTAAGATATATCTTTCATTGGCGTTACTGTTGTTGAACCTTATTGCTGAGATGATTTTGGTGTTTGTCCCATCTATTTAATTGAAATCGGAAACATTAACGTGTGTGGTGAACTTTACATAAACCAAGGTTAAATCATAATGCAGAATATATATTGTATATTGTACATAAAAGGTTTAATCTTAAGATCACAAAAATGTTCTAATTGTATACACTATAGAAAAAAACCATATTAACATAAGCTGGGTTTGTTCGTGAACATAATATAACGTGTTGTGATTTTCTGGGACACTGGTAAATCATTTTAAAGTTCATTGATTTTCACTAAATTCTTGTAACTTTATTCATCTTCTGTCAACCTTTGATCATTGTATAATCCACTCAACTCATAGCGATCTCCTTCCATAGACCATTTATTGAAATATAACTAAATCTAACTCACAAGATTATTCAACTAGTTTTCAACCTAACCATCGACGCATGAAGGGAAGGTGTTACATTGAATTATACCAAATACATACCTGTACGATGAATATGACAACGAGAACTGGAATTGCCCATTTATTCCCGGAGTTTATCAAGTTTAAGAAGGCATCGTAGCAACCCTAGAATAAAATTACAAAATGATTATAGAGCCACCCCTATGATAAAGTCACCTAAAACTTTGACTAGGTTTACTTTAAGAAATCCCTTCTCTCTTTTGGGTTAAAGAACTATCATAACAACTATTAAAAACGTTAGTTAATTTTATATATCATTTTCATAATAGTCATTGACCTAATTTTCGAAACCCAAACTGTAAGGTATCATCACAGAACAGTGGGTATCTACCGTTGATCTAGCTACCGACTGTTATATCAGAACAGTGGGTATCTACCGTTGATCTAGCTACCGACTGTTATATCAAATTGAAAATCATATAAACCAGTGAATAGCTGAAGGGGAATATCGACGGATTGTACAAAGATAACAGCATGGTCAGAGGCGTGCTTGGTGGGTAGGCAGGGAGATGTCCTACCAGCGTGTGCCCTCCCTTCCGAAAATATGCCCTCGAAATGTGTCTTTAGCAGTGGAAGGTCCCGGACACCCCCTCCCCGAAGGCATATGAGTAGTAGAGTTTGGTACAAATGTCTGGAGAAAACGAAGCGGGCTAATATTCCGAGAGAATATTTTATTTCAGGGTCCAAAGTCCAATCCATTTCCACCAGGCCCGGATTAAGCGCAGTACTGACATGACTGCAGTCAGGGGCCCCAATGTAAAAGATGCTCCAAAATTATAGTTCTAATGTGCCAATAAAGGGCCCAGTCCTAATATTTCCATAGTATTCAGAATCAATTAATCTTATTAGTTATTTATTTAACTAATGGATTTAGGAAATGAATAAATAAGAGAAAATTGCAACATGGGTGACGGAGACGTTTTTACGCAACCGTTACCACAAAGACTATTAATCTTTATTCTGTCACCAGTAACTTCCTCGGTCAGGTTTAATGTAAACATTTTACACCGGTGTCACAGCCAGTGTCTAAATCTCCGATCGTCTTCTCATTCTTGGGGTTTTGTCAGTTTACTCTGAAGTGCTACTGCTATCCTTCCCTCATTAGCAAACAGAATCGAATGAAATTTGGCAGTTATCCTTTGTAAGGAAACCCATATCCTTTTGATGCTTGCCTCTCTTTACTCGTCAGTTGTTTAATTCTTGATTGTTGCTAACCATATTCATGATCAGAATTACAGAACTTAATCCTAATCCCTCAACCAAGTGTCAATAGTATGGTATGTCATAGGCTCAGGTAAATGTCAAATACACAGATACCACACACCCCTCCCCCGCCCCCTTCTCCAAAGTGCGTTAGGTTTTGTCTGGAGGCCCCAGCACGCCTCTGGAGACACCCTGAAGATATTCTGTCCATGTGTAAGCTATTCATCCAGGCTTGTTACAATTAATGTTAAACAAGGGGCGGTAAATGGCACTCTGTTGATTATGAACAAATTTATCGCGTGTCAATCTTACCAACTCATCAAAAACGACGAAAGGTCAAGACTAAAAATGGTCCCAAAATTTAAAAAAAGGCCCACAAACTACGTTAGAACATTGACTTCTTTAAGGACCACCGAGCTTACCATACTCACGGACTCCTCCCCTATAATCATCTATACGAGATATACTGCTGAATTACTTATATTAATTGGTTTCCGGGCTTTACCTCAGAGTATGAATTGTCAGATGTTGGTCCGTTTTGACATAGTTGTAATTCCCCTTTGTTGTCCGGCATTCTTTTACAACAAGCTGGTGGTATTTCGACGGGATTTCCTTTGTACTTTAAAACTAAATCTTTAAAGTCGTCCTGTCCATTAACTCCGCAGCATTTCATCTGAAATTATAAACACCATATCCGATATACACTAACCAAACTGACTATTATCATACAAAAAACTGGTAACTCGTTACTTTGGCAGTAATTTCCAAGACAACCCGACCGTATGGTCCAGGGTCTAAAAACGGCACCTGTGGGCTATTCTGATGCAGTTTACACAGGAGTTCTATCAGTAACCAGGGTACAAAATAAAATCTGATCATTGTCTTTTAAAGTCTCTTTATAGTAGTGAATCTAGAGGTCGAGACTGGAAACAGGCGAAGTATTTCTATTTGACCTCCGGAAAAACTCCTTTGAACCATGACTGTTCAATAGCCTTGGGTGGCGGGTTGTCTATTCGTTCCGCTTTCTATATTCAGGCATGGGCTGCTGGCCGAACATCAAATTCAGACAACGAGGGCATGTTGATGTGAATATTCACTGAAATGATGGTCATGGACGGAGTGGATTGGATACCAAGCCTACTGAAAAACCTGACTTAGTGAGCTGATCGGCTGGCGCTCACTGGACTCATCCGAGGGAGTCGATCGAGCGCCAGTTGATCTGTTCTGATCTGTGCAACTGACCACCACAAGAGGAAACACCCATTAGGGGTCAGGAGGCATCGCTACCTTACATTTTTTGAGTGTACTTACACCATTTTTCATTTCGAAGCACGTTCGTGCTCCAAGGCACGTTATTTAAGGCCCTGGTGGTCATTGGAAAACGGAACCGGCCTCCCTTCATCCAAATAGGCTTGTAGTCTCGCATATCTACTCTAGATGGGAATGGGCTTGGGGTTTGAAGATATATATACGTTGCACAAGCGCGCAGTTTTAAGATCACGTACATGTTTTTATGTTAATATTCACTTGCACGTGGGGTTAATTAGAAGTGGGCGGTAACCGAGCTACCAGCAGAAAAACCACCAAGTTATACTGCGATTTTACTCATGTTAAAATGTGGGTTCGAATCAAATCCTTCACATCGATAACAAATTTTATGATCTATGATCCACAAAACACCCTTGCCAAACGAAGAAAGTGCGCTAAATTTAAAGATGATTACGTACACAGCCAGCGAGAACTTACCCCGACCATAAATAAATTGAATGTTGCTGAGAAACCATCTGATCCGTCTACTTTATATTTCTTTAACTGTGATATCAATTCTTTTCTAGCCTTGTCATGTACCTTGATGAAAAAAATTACGATATACTTATTTCAAATCTATTTCAAAGATCAATAGCGATTGTAAAATATGTTCAGCCTTGCAGGGAAAATATTGTTGTCTAAAACAGTATAATTCATGAGATGCTTCACGCTAGGGTTATTGTGAAATCTACATTTTTAATTCGGCTGACACTTGAAATACTGGTTCCCGCTGTCGTACGATGCGTTACGATCTGATTCTCCCTACTGAGTCCACGATCTGGTACGTGCAGATACGTATGGATACATACGATCAACACGATTGCTACGACTGACGCCAATATATGATAAGACCTGATAGGGTCACCACAATTAAAACCACAGTATGAATCGTGATGTTGGGAACCTGGGATTAAGTGTATGTAATGCGATGACGAACGACTGAGTAACGTTGGCGTTTAAGGAACAATGGCAAAACAAGGGGGTGGGGGTAGGGGAGAGAGATCTTCCGCAAATATCAAATACTTACTGGTGACGATTTTGAAATTAATAATCCGGTAGCTGTGACTTCTCCTAGTAGTAAAACAATTACTAAACAACAAAACTGAAAGTAGAATAAACTTTATAGGAAACAAATTTCATTATTATAGTAACTTTGCCTGATTTGTATTTTCGAATCATTTCAGTATTCTTACGGCTTAATCTACGCTAATGTGTACTCAAATTGATAATTTAACATTTAATTAAAAAATCAAAATATCAACGCTAGATAATCTCTCAGATTGTATTATCTGTCGTGCGATGCGTAACCATATGATTTTCTTTATTGAGTCCACGATCTGGTATGTGCAGATACATTTCGATACGATCAACACGATTGCTACGACTGACCTCAATATATTATAAGACCCGATAGGATCATCACGATTACTCCAAGTGATGAAAGTGGGAACCTAGCATTAGATTTTGTTTAACCAGGAGCATTGTTTACATTGGGAGCAGTATATAGATTGATGGAATTTCAGTTCATCATATCTTTAATAATACAGAACGGAACTGTCCCATTTATGGATTGATATTCATATTATATAAGAGAGGGAGCCGCTGTGGGGGCCGCGAGTTCGCTGCCGGTGTTGGCCGAGGGTTCGCTGTCGGTGTTGGCCGAGAAAGTTCATCGAGATTTTCCGGAGTTGTTTCCCCTTGTCAATGGTGTGGGACTGACAAGGACAGCTGTTTAGTCGTTCGGATTGTACGAAAAACCGAGGTCCCGTGTACACATTGGCGTGAACGTAAAATATCCCTTGGTAGTTGGAATTCGATATAAGAGTAGGCCGTAGCGCCGCTGTCTGGCAAAATATCTCTCATAGCACACTGTATGGAGTATGCCCGTTTTCATTAGCCCAGTTTAGGAGCAGAGCAGTAGGACGTTAAACCCCATTTCATTTTTCTATTAAAGATCCAATTTTACAATATTGTTGTGTTGCAATTGATTCCTATATCGCCCAAATCAGTGAAATCACGCTCGGGGATTTTAATTTATATTTATGGTATTTATATCATAATACCATTATCTGATTAAAATCATGTGAATTTATTGACCAATTAAAATGTATTTGTATATAGCGAAGTCTCAATTATGACTGGTTGCTATATGTATAACTATCGCTTGCAGAACAAAGTCGACATAGAACGTAAGTTAGATTACAAAGTAGGAAATATGAACGACACTCAATGTAATCTAATACCACAGCATGAGATAAGTGCAATACAATACCTATTTGAACATGCTTAAAAATATATCTTCTTTGGATTGATTACATGTCACACGAAAAGGTAATTAATTATGTCCACCACTAAAACGTAACATTAAAATTTAATTTCTTGTGACTATTTATTTCTTCTCAAAGGAATATATCTTTAAATCTTTTGACATGCAGTTTAAATACCGTTCGGTCTTTTGACTCACACATGGAAAATAAACGGGAGGCTAATCACAGATAGTCTCCCTTTAATTGCCGTATTCGTGTAGAGAGAGAGAGAGAGTGGCAGAGAGGGGAGAGAGATACAACGAGGTGACCTACTCCTTGTCACGTACAACCAGGGAATCAAAACCACGCCAGTAGAATCAATGACAGATCTTATGATACAACTTGCACGCGCTAACCATTCGGCCATTCGGCCATCCAACCCCGCAGATAGCTTTAAGCATCTGCTAATAAAATATAAATGAAATAAAATGTGTTTTAACATACGACTGAGCTAATGAAGACGAGCATACGGTCCACTCTTATATCGAATTCCATCTGCCAAGGCTTCTTTTACGTTCACGCCAATGTGTACACGGGACCTTGTGTTTCGTCCCGCCCTGCACCACTGACAAGAGGGAACCACACCGGAAAATCCCGATTAACGTTCTCGGTCAACACAGTGATCGAACAGGGGACCTCCAGGTTAGTAAGCCAACGTATTACACCCCCAGAAAATATAGAAGACTATCGATGGTTTAAAGAACAGATCCCTCTCTATTGTTGGGTTGCCCCGGTCTTTTCTCTATCGTGAAAGGTGCCTCAGGAGGTAGTTTATGCTAGTCCACGGAGATTCAAACAGTAACTCGTACATTTTATTTTCCATATTAAAGTTACAACAAGCAAGCAGATATTTGAAAAGTCAAATATAAATACTAGTTTATTGTAAAGATAGTTGTTATATTAGTTAAAGATGCATAATACAGGTCTTTATGTTAGCCATAAATGTTATATTTTAGACACTTATTCACATGACAAGCTTATTATCAACTCTATATAACATGGGATGGCCGAGACTTAAAGGGATTGAAAACGGTCGCCATTTAATAATAAAATTTAAAAATGGTAAGGATTAACCTAGTCTCTGTTATCAAGTACAGTTGCTACAATAATTAACAATCTATGACACATTTTGTCAAAACTTCAAATACTGATAACTTCGCTCAGAATAAAGTAATTTAAATGAAATTTTTAAAATTTTCATCATTTGTTTCTTTTTTAGTTATAATAGATGAACGGTCAGCTCTTCATCTAAATCTTACATAATGCATCTTCAAGCGCATATGAAGAGTATTAAAAAGCACGCCATGAAGAATGGGTTGACTTGTACGAAAATAGTAGCACGATTAATATTACTATTTGTCCAAGAGAAATGAAGATGTCGGTGTACTAAATATTTAGTTCTAATTCGTGTTTTTTTATTTGGTCTTCATTTGCCCAGTCGATGGAGATTTTAAAGACGTTAAACCCTATTTCATTTCATTTCTCCAGGGTTTTTTTCTAATTTCGAATATTATGGATAATAACAAGTTGAAGGTTTAACTCCTTTAAATAAAATAAAAATAAAAAGTATTTTTAAAGTTATGGCTCTTGATCTTGTAGATGCTCTTGGGACAAAATTTATTTTTAATTAATGTTTATGTTAATGGCGCACATTTGTAATATATATATATATATATATATTAAGGGTCGTTACTGACCAATTTGTGTACCGACGATGTAAAGATCACTTGAATTTCACATTTCACACGAAGTTGATGATATTCGATACTGCGCCCCCTGGATAATGACATGGTTTTTAATATTATGTTATACTCACGATTATTAAAAATGGACGCCATTTGTAGCAAGCTCCACAACATGCAAAAACGGATATTCCAAACAATATGACTCCCAGAATAATTAGTGCCAAGCCGGCATCATTTGTGAAAGTTCCAAATTCCAGATCTTTGGGAATAGGTTGATCTTTGCTGATGTCGTGATAGATGTCTTTAACTGTACCCGACATGAGGCTGCCTTGAAGAATGGTTCCTAGAAAAAATTTCACCACGATACCCAATGCCATGAATATCAGACCCACTAACTGCAATTTAAAAAATAGCTGGATAAAATGGGTAGAACTTTTTGAGGATAATGGGTAGACCTTTTAAGGATAATGTGATTAAATAAGCGTTGGATGGATGGTTGTGGTACTAAAGTGCATTCTTTTGGAGGTTCAGATTGGGTCATTACCAAGTGAGTAACTGACAATGAAACATATGCTATACATTGAATGAAACACAAAACGATTGATCCTAGTCAAAAATGTCTGAGTCTCTTTTTATGACTATTTGGGTGGGTGACGGTCAGAGAAAGTCAGAACGATTCGACCATGTTGTTTCTTCAGATTTCCTTTCAAAAGGGCATTAAATGGGGTAATTGATATGAAAAATCACAAAATCCTTTTGAGCATAATCCACGATTAGGCCTTGAATAAGACGTTTCATCCCTGAATTCCAGTCTGCGTAGTTGTAATTGAGCACCAGTAGAACAATGCGAATGAATTAAATGTAGCTCAAAAATGATGTATGTTACAGAGAAATGCTCTCTAAAAAGGAGCTAAGAACATCATGCTCTGTGTCCGAAGACGGGATTAATGAAAGGTAAATCAGAAAAATACAGCCAGTGCAAGAGGTAAAAAGAAACAAGATTTGGGCGTGACATCAAAATAAATAGAGACAGAGAGAGAAATGGAGTTTAACGTCCACTCGACACAAACTAGGTCATTTCGGGACTAACATATAATTCAATTTTATTTCAATCAATCGCTTGCGCGTAGGGATCTTTAGCAGTGGGAGTAAACTGGAGGATCCGGAGATAGTCCATGAGGTTGGACAGGCGACCCTACTCCTTGTTACGTACAAGCGTGTAATCAATGACAGACCTTATGATGCAGCGCCATGTATTCGGCCACGCACCCCCACCCCGACTACAAAAGAACTTAATTGGAACATTTATAACAAAGTCTATCATTTTAATTGCAAAAATACCTAAAGTGGGTTTTTGTAAATAAAAACAAAGATAACTCAAACTGAGAACCGAGCCAAACGGCGACAACGGAATGCATGAATATGTACTAAAGAGTTACGTTTAAAGGGTTCTGCCCGCAACATTTAGTAATTTTAATCATTACATAATTATTTATTATAATATTTTTAATAAAATACAAATATAACAAATAAACCCTTACCACGAACACGATATTCAAAAATATCAACAAAAGTCTAAAAATGACGGCCACTGGACTGCTTACTGACCCCATGTTTGCCAGTAGGTGTTACAGACTCCGATGTTCTAAAGAAACTGAATCTTTCAGTATTACATCTCTAGCGAAATGTTAAGCTAGTGCAAAGTTCAAAGAAAATATGATATGGATGTTATCATTAAAGTTACTGATAAACATCGTCATATAAGGTTATATGTATACAAATAACACACATATTATTAGTTGGACAGACATGAGGTTTAACGCCCTCCTGTTCTTCTCCGACTGGGCTAATGAAGACGGGTATAAGCCATACAGTATGCTTGAGGAAAATCTTGACCGGATAGCGGCGCTACGGCCTATTCTTATATCGTATTCCAACTGACAGGGGATCTTTTACGTGCACGCCAATGTATACACGGGACCTCGGCTTTTTGTTCCATCCGAACAGCTAGACAGCTGTCTTTGTTAGGCCCTCCGTCCTACACCACTGAAACCAGAAACCACGATGAACTTTTTCAGCCAACACCGCCACGTACCAGCGACCTCCAGGCTAGCGAGCCAGTGTCTACCCACATAGCCATCGTGGCTCCATTTGGGCAGACATCTAGCTTATGATTAGATGTATAACAGAATGAAGAAGTAAAAGTGGTTGATTTTTTAACTAGGCATATTTTTACTGTTATGTACCCATTTCCTATGACAAATAGAACAACGGTAAAAGTGGTACCCTGCCTCCTACACGACACCCGTCATTTATATATAGATTTCATTTTAAACCTGTCATATTGGAGCGGTATGCATCAAGAAAACTTGTACATGTGTGGGGGTTTTCTGTTATTCTTCATCGATAGCGTTGAAATATACTTTCTTTGTAATAAATATAAGCCTATTACTTCCATTGCAGTATAAAGTCCTAGGTGTCGAAATAATTAATCAACTGATGAATGGGCGTTGGTTTAGGTTGTTGATAAGCTATTGTTAGATAAGATAAGTAATGATAAAACCAGTATTTGAATATATAATCCTGTAAACTAATATTCTCATCTTCTATAATAATTATACGGCTTACGTATATTCCATGATTGAGATAAACATACCTACTATAACCCATGTTTCGCCGAATTATTGGCCTCCGCATATCACATATAATGGGCTAACCATTGAAAACACATAAACCAGTTTCAACATAGGTTGACAGACAACGAAACTACGCCTACCACGGCTTTGTCGTTTGGATAGCAATGGGTATTTGTAAAAGAGACAGCACTAATATTTGCCTAAATGAGTATGAATTAGATATGAGGTTCGGGCTTTTTGTTTTTGTTGTTTTTGGGTTGGTTTTTTTTTCTTTTTGCACAGCCGTTTTAATTTTTTGGGGGTCCAACATTAGACATTTACTGCAGGGACAGACTGGGTGTCGGAGGGTCCCACAAAAACTGGGTGTAAATGATGAGTATAGCTTTCATCAAAAACGACGTAGATTCCAGGCCCCAAATCTACGCAAGAACATTAACTCTTACAAACTCTAACCATCCTGGGTATCGCCAGTAATCTCATTCTGCTCCACCCCACTAAACCCCGGCTTCAACCACGGAGGTGACACGTATTCAATTTGTCTCCTCTTGATGATTGTGCAATGTTTATCGACCAAACTGACATAAAAACATCTTTACCATCGAAAATATGGCTTCCTTTATGTTAAACCTCTAGCAAACTTTCTCATAATCAAGTGAACAAGCCGCCATATTGTCGTGAATATAAACAATGAGGCTAAGACTGGTTTGTGAACTGTTTTGTGATTTGTTCGTAGAATCAAGCTACGATCAAGAGCAGATAATTTAAATGCGCGAATACCTCATGGTCTCAGACTAGCAATTATTTGCCCTTTTCAATGCTAAATGGCTGTAACATCACAGGCTGTAGCTTTTTGCCCAACACTTCGTTGGTTCCAACCTTTATAGGCACAATGGGGACCACATTTGGCAGTCTCCTCATCATAATTTTTTAGGGAGTTGACCTTTTAGATTTTTTGCTACGGGGATTTGATGTTGACTGGGGTGAAAATCTCACTTCCAACACAATGATTGTTCTGCAGAAAGACACTTTACACCCCTATCCCTCCGCTCTAATATCATCAGTATTACCCAAAACTGCTATGAAAATGCAAACTTGATTCTTTTCTCCAATTCTAGACCACAAATTCAACCAAATAATGCAGGAAGAGGTGAGAAAAAAATAAGGGGAAATAATTACTAGTCTTAGTCCTTCATACAGGATGCAGACCACCATCAATTTCCCCATTGACTTCAATGTTAATTCCGGCCTCTTTGCCCACCTCCAACTTTTCCCTAAATATTCGTTGGGCTGAATGCTTTTCACGACAGACAGAGAAACAAATGGTCATGTCTTGCACTAAAATTTGTATGAAGTTGACCACCAAAATTTTGAGATACACAAACTTGAAGAAGCATACTAAAAACATGTAACTAGTTGCCGTACATATCGCCGTAGCCAACCTGATAACCCTGTTATCCTTAAAAAATCATGAATATTTACCAAAACCTGGCAGAAAATGTTAATTCAAACCCTCTTCGTCCATTCTAGACCAAAAAATCAACAGAGAGAGAGAGTTGCTATAAATAGACGAACTACAATTCGGTACCGAGATGGTGAAATTTAATGGTGGTCTGCCTCCATGGATGAACCCAGGGTACAGTGAAGTAGAACGGAATCAGACCACAGTGGATATCGAGGATGTACTCTACCATACATGCAGACTCTTTCTCAATTACTGATTAAATGAGTAACCGTACATCTGTTCCGCGTCTTTAAGGTTGCGCTAGATGAAACCGAAATATCATGTCCCCATCATGGCAGCCATGTCCCCACAGCGAATATGTTTAATCCCGGATAAAATACCAGTTTTTCTATGCTGAAATTGTTTTCCGTTTGTAAGCAAAAATATGCATAGTGTGGGCTTCCGAGTTTTCAGATCTCCATATAGAAGTGTTTCATTGATAATTCGCACACAACTGGGTATCTGTGGGAACTAACATAGATAATTAGGAAAAAGCATCACTGTAGGTGACACTTCTTTCTTGAGGAGTCTACATAACAAATGTTCGTTTCCAGTGATCACCCATCAATTTAATCATCTATATACAATATCAAGATATTTTGTATTAGAAAAACTAGATAAACCCTGTCAATCATTTCACTAGAATATGGTAACAAATCCACCATGCAATGGTAGTAAATGAAGCCCTTAGCGCACTCATGTCTCCGCTCATTGGTTTAGGATCGTCGGTCATGCATACACCTGTGCACCCCCGTCAGCTAATTCCTGGCTAAAATGAAATGAAATGAAATGGGGTTTAATGTCCTACTGTTCTGCTCCTAAACTGGGCTAATGAAGGCGGACATACGCCATACAGTGTGCTATGAGGGAAATTTTGCCCGGGCAACTCTTATATCGAATTCCAACTGCCAAGGGATATTTTATGTGCACGCCAATATGTACATGTTACCTCGGTTTTTCGTCCCATCCGAACGACTAGACAACTGTCCTTGTCAGGCCCTCCGTCCTGCATCACTGACAAGGTGAAACCACGCCGGAAAATCTGGATGAACTTTCTCGGCCAATGCAGGGATCGAACATCCGACCTTCAGGCTAGCGAGCCAGCGTCTTACCCACTTAGCCACGTGATCCCCTAATTCCTGGCTACGTCATTGAAAGCACTAAAGGGTTTGTAACAAGTGATAGTAAGGACCAGACAACTAACAGCGTCTAGTCGTTCGGAATAGACGAAAAAACGTGGACCAATATACACATTGGTGTGTACATGAAAGAACCCTTTCAAGCAACAGTGGGCCGTGGCAGTAAAGTAGGACTTTGTACCCCATTTCATTTCTCCTTATTCTTCAAAATGAGAAGATGATTTTTGTGATTCATGGGGTTCTAATATAGACGTAGAAAGAAAGGAATGTTTGATTTATTGGTAACATGGCCTACAACATAAACTTGATAATGGTTGTGTAATCTTTGTAAATCTTTCTATGTAATATTTTAAGAATGTTTTCTGTAATAAGAACTTTTGGCTGAGGATTCAAAACTTGCTGTAAAGTGCATTTATTACTTCGGCGATTCAAAATAGTTTTATGCCTGTGTCATTGTTATCTCTGTCGCCTTGATTATACAGTCTGTAAAAAATGTTTGTGTGTAAAATGATATAGGTATGTGTTGACGAGACGTTATAATCTCGTTCGGTCTGTTCCATATCTAGCTTTCCTTATGTTTAAGAATGACACAAAGGGGAAACCCAACCTACAGAATATTATTGTTGTTTTCTATAGTTTTCATATATTTAATAGAATTGTATATAGTGTTTGGAGAGGGGGGTTAGCTGATTCCTACAAGTATGTAGTATTCTGTGTAATTTGGGGGATGGGGGCTGTGGAATATAACAGCATCAAATATTCTATAAGACAAATAACATATCCTGTCATAGATTTATGGTAAATAGGAACCTTTAACTCGTATTTCAAAGGTCAACCACGATCTTTAAAAGTTTATCTAAATGTCGATAAAAATTCGCAAGACGGAAAGACAATATCTATAGTTTTTGTTCTAGATAATCAAATGTTTTGTCCTGTTAATGTGAAATAAGATACTCCGTTGAGTGACTTGAAATTCTCAAATTCTTTTAAGAGCAATAAGCCTTTTTACGATAAACACCGGTACCGATGTTTGTATATACTTCTTCCTGCAGACTCTATATAATTTGTCAAATTAACCTCAGAATTCCGTTGAGCAGGATTAAGTTCAGTCGGACAATGTTAATACATAGACCTATCTATTTTAGTTTTATATGCTAAAGGTCATCTGATTCTTTATATTATTATTCAAAATCAAACAGGTTCTACAGTTTTACTAAAGTTAGCTAGTACCGGATTCTATCAAGGTGTTGGTCGAGAAAGTTTCTTGGAATTTCACAGCACAAGATGGAAGCTCTGGTAAGGAATGGCGTCTAATAATCTAGGTCTCGTGCAAAAAATTCAATGAAGCGCATGTGGAAACACCGCTGTCTAGGCAACATTTTCCTCATATAGCATACAGCATAGCGATGACGGTTAGGGGTGGACACACTAGCCGAATGATTCGGCCGAATCAATCGGCGTCGAAATTCGCCTAGTGTGTCCACCTTCATTCGGCCGAATTTCTATTCGGTCGAATGATTCGCCCGAATCAAACAGGTTTGATATATTCGGCCGAATTATATTCGCCTGGTGTGTCCGCTTCGCCGAAGCATTCGGCCGAATGTAGAATTCATTAGCCAATCACCACTCATATAGAGAAGTCACGTGATAGTTTGAAGACATCGCCGCCGCCATGTTTAATCATGTGACGTGAAAGGTGATGCAATCGACTGGTGAATCGGGCGAAGCATTCGGCTAGTGTGTCCACCCATTCGGCCGAATAAAATTCGGCGCCGATTGATTCGGCCGAACGATTCGGCCGAATAATTCGGCTAATGTGTCCACTGATCCCATTTCATTTAAGTCCTGTCGTGACCGGTCCAGGGTAACTCCTAACAGCGCAAGGGCCGACAGAGCGAAATATATTATACTCTGACTGATTGACTATTAGCTTTTCTTCTTTATGGTCGTTTTTCATTTCCCCCGTGGACCGAAAAGAAATTCCGGGTTTTTCTAACCCCGTGCGCACTTGCTGACAAGAAAGGTGTTGCTAAATCGTTCTGATGTGTTCCAAACAGGGGGCCACCTGTGCACACATATTGACGTGCATGTAAAAGACAGTTGAAATTTGGTAAGGCAAAAATTGTCCTCTCTAGCATTGAAGTTGTGGCCATGAAAATAATTACCCGTATGCTAGTCTAAGATGGAACGAATATACATGTACTCCCATCAACAGCACTTGACGGGTGGTTTACGGAACGAATATACGCCCATGAGCAGCATGGCTGGCTTTAAAGTTTTCGGGTCAAATGGTATGTTTATTAAACAACCCGAAATACTCAATATTTAAATAATTTATTTATTCTTATTTACAATATACATGTGTATATATAATATGTATAAATGTGTAATGTTAAAGTTACATCTTTAAAAAAAAAACATGGTCGAGACATTTCAAGAAATGAAGGAGACTGAACTAAACAATTACACTATCTTAGTAACATATGGTGACAGGAGGCGGCCATTGTTCTCGGTCATTGTTCACGTTTACACGAGATTTGACTTCTTCTTCAAAGCATCAATTATATGACATTAATAGAGTATTTTAGACAAAGTGGAGAAAATTCACGTTCTACGACCTTTATAAATAAATTGTAGCTTAAATTCTCCCCACTTTACGATTGAAGAGAATTTCCAATTCACTATCAATTGAAGCCGATTTTCAGTGACTTTAGAAATGGCGTTTAGAAAAATTACATTAGTGAAAGTAATTATACCGTGTCCGTCCATCTGTGCTGTAGTTTACCACAACGATTCCTGATTTTGTAGGAAATGGCCTGGAATTCTTCAAACTCGATATCTGGAACCAAAGTCACTGACTCGACTCTTATTTATTGACACGAGTGCATTGAAAGTCTAGCACCGAGAAGGAGTTCGTCGCGCTATGGCCAAATTGTAAGAAGAATTTATTTAAAAATATAACGTTCACTTGTTTCTCTGTCTATGTAAGGCAATGAATAATTCATTTAAGGCCCGGGAGAAATGAGATTAACAACTTAAGCTTTAAATCAACTTATTTGATTACGGGTGCACAGCTATTCAAGCGGACTTTTGTTACAATTTAACAAACTAGCTTAAAACTGTCATGGCCGATTCAGAGTTGCTAGACTAGATTTCCCAAAAGAACGGAATATAGAATTATACTCGTAGTGCACGTCCAGTAAGCTAAATGAATAAATAAACAAAGTTAAATATATAAATAAATGTACACGTCCGTGATTAAATAACATAAAATGATTTATGAATATTCATAAAAAATATAACACATTTTGTTCACAACCTTGCAAAGTTTTCGATATTGTTATTTTGTTAGGCATCACAAATTAATTTTCCTTTCATTAAAGTATGACTAGAATAAAGATGAGGAACCGTTACAACCTAAACAAGTTGAACCAGTGAAATCACAGAACTCGAGATCAAACTGCACAGGCACTTTAATTAAGTTCTAACACATGATTTAAGTACGATATATAGCAAATAGCAAGGCGAAGAATTTCTATTTTTGATAACTTCTTGTCTGGGGGTAATGTTGGTAAAAGTTTTCTCAATTCTGAAAAGGCAACGTTGAAGGCCTCGACACGTACTCGTTCACGAGTAGCATGAGCAGTTCGATATTTTTGTGTGGCTCGTCGTCGTCGACGTCTTTCCTCCCTACTCAAGTTTTCCTGATCACCCCCACGTCGCGTTCGGCCATGTGATTTAAATTCGTCATCTGTATCTTTGGATTCCGGAGAGTCTGGAAGATCATTCTCGATCGCATTATCCAGACACGTGAATGTCATTTGAGAAACTTCTGTGTGCATCTTCATGTTATTTGATCAAAGGGCCAACAATCAACGATGTCTCTTGATTCCTTAAAAAGAAAGAAAAAAATATTAAAATGACATGAACTAAAGCCTATAATATGTTTGAAGATAAATACCCCGTTCATCTTTCCCAATGTCGATAACATCAAATCAAATTTTATGTCAAAAATACGTGTCAGATTTTAGTGTGATATCTAATTTTTCTATTAAAAATATAATTGGTCAGTATTTTGAATACCTTGGTGATCAATGATACTGCATGTAAAACTGATCTTATATTATTTTTCGTCTCCCCCGATTAATTCGGGTTGAGATTGCTACGATTAACCGAGTATTGTGTGTCGTTGGTATATAACTGTTCGTCAAATTTGCATATTTTTGTAAATATTGATATTACAGTATAGCTAAAACAAGGCTTTTTTTCTGATCCCTCTCGAGGGGATATTTATATAGTGACTTCGTGGATTATATGTTTCTCAAAGGTATATTTGATAGTTATTTGTTGAAAATCTACGAAAATTGGCAGTTTTCTTAAAGTGGTGCCTTGAATTTTACTCTTATATAAACATATTGATTGATTGTCATAGGCCCATTATAGACTCAAGTCATTTGCCACTGATAAAAGCCTCCATCAATTTATTCAGCTTCTTCGGCTTCACATTTCGGAAATCGGTACTAACTAAATGAGTATCCTGATCGCTTAAGAAGACAATTCCAATTGATCTGAAACAAAGTGCCGGGAATCAAACCGTTAGATTTAGACTGAAAGTCTTTCCGCGCTTCCTTTTAAACCAAATCGATATCTTTTCACTCCACTGGGGGGTTTATTTGATTTGCTCACTCTCTAATTAATGAGACAAGTTTGGTCTCCTCTTCATGGTCACGTGCTTAAAGTATAACGGAATGTAATTTGTGACGCCATTTTCTTCCAACAACCCGTTTCATAATGAACTGAAATGCAGCAAAGCTTCAAAGAAACAATTCACCAAAAAATTGGACAAATTTGGTCGAATGCAGATTATTTCAAAACTTTAGTGATTGTCCCCAGCATTCAGTTCAAGTCAAAAGCTCCGGGTAAACTATGCAAATGGAAGACCAGAAGATTTTTTTTTTTTAAAAAAAACAATAGAAATTGTATTCCATAAAAATAATACATGTGATTATTTTTCATATATTAACCTTTGTTTTGTACAAACGAGCCGACGCGTGGAATTTTTTAGCAAGGCTAAAATGGGGCGCATGTCCAAACTACAACAAATGGGATATCAATTTCGATCATTTAAATCTATAAATCTAATTCAATGGGGGTGACATTTTTGTCTAGACACGCCCACAAGTAGTATTACCCGAATTATACAGAACACATCAAATCTAGGTTATGTTTGGCCAAATTTGGTATAAATATTACGAAAACGTTCCAAATGTTCCAGAGATGAGTATTATTTGCTGACTATAATGACTCATGGTCTCAAATAATTGTATTATTATTTCCTGAACAAGTATAACCGCGCTATGGACCAGGAACTGGCTATATAGTCATCGCAGCCATCTTGGAATTTTGGAGTCGTATCAAAAATCGATGCGCAATTGTCCAAGAACCAAGAAGGCCAAGTTTCATATCGGCTGTACATGAAATGGCGGAGCCTTGGGCTTTTTTGAAGAGCGTTTGCCTTAAAGGGGCATTAGGTAAGATAAGATAAAGAGCTGACAGTTTGTGCTATAATAGTTCAAAAACTGATAACGAAAACAGAATATGCTGAAAATTTTAGTCAATTTGCTACACTCTGCACCAAGATATTTTAGAGATTCAATTTTAGCCTTTCCTCGATCGTCATTACTAACGTTGGTACGATAATAAACAATGTCTCGATTATCCATTTATACGTTAAATTATCCATCACAAAACGTATTCAAATCCACTAAATATTACAGACTAGTGATGGTCTGGATAAGTTAATTAATGCCTAATTAATAATTTAGATAACATTTCAGGTTTAAAGAAAGACCTGCAATAGACAGATTTTGCTCTTGCATAATGCATGTTTAAAACGAAGAACAACAAGGTGGGTCCTGGTCCAAAAGATGAATAGACTTGAGTTTTAGCAAAGTTGCAGTGGATAAAACTTGTTGCTTTGGCTTCTCCAACAAAATAAAAAGTATAGTAGGCTTATCTTCTTAAGATGAAGAACAAAACCAATAAAAAGAACACGGTTCAGCTATATTGTTTAGAACTTTTATCTCCTGGGGATTAGGCGTATAATGCCATTAAATTTTATTGTTGTTTTACAATCTTCCAACACAGAAAATAAAGTCAGTATTCATCGAAATTTATTACTACGCCAGGCGTGTTGTATTACTACTACTAACAAATTTTCGATTTCCTAATTCACAATTAACCCCTGTAACAAGGTCCTGTACAACGTAAATTCGGCAGACAAACAGAATTGTCTGTCGGTGATCCACTTTGTATGAATCTCAAGAGCAGGTGGCAGTCACCCAAATTGGATTACATTTCTCGTCTGCTCCCGGAGTATCTAATATGGCGGCTGGTAGACGAATGGTGTGTGGAAATGAGGTGGAAATTTGGTCTCCAGTAAGTTGGTAATGAAGAACATTTGTCGTAATTCTCGAAATTACAGAAAAGAGTAAATTTACTTGACATCCATTTCCCAAACGACATTAGTGGTAAAATATACTAGCTAGTTACACTTCTTTCACGACACCCACGAGACCTATTTCCTATAATTGTCGTAATTTGTTTAGTTGTGAGTTTGCGTGACGAAGTCTCATACAGTTTGACCATAGCTCTGGAATGCACAATTATGTTATCCTCGAGTAAAGTTACGGTCAAAAACCTAATTGCTAACAGGTCGATTAAAAATGAGCAATGCTGTTGTACTGAACAACAGAGAGAGAGAGAGAGAGAGAGAGAGAGAGAGAGGGGGGGAACTATGACAATCATGTTATTAATTTTTTATTTGCCAAATCGTCGTTTATTGCCTTATAAGGTCCAGTCATCACGTACTGCTATTTTTATATCATACTCGGGTAATTCAAAGCTCATGTTAGTTTTACCCTTGCCAAACTCGGATATCAAATGAAATCATGAAAATTGAGTCATCGACTTGTAGAGCATTCTGCTTTATATTCCTATACGTGCACGCCAATGTTTACACGAATGGGTCGCGGCCTTTCGTCTCTTCCGAACCACTAGGCATACTCTACTTGTCACCTCTATTCAATTACGGTTTAATTATGTCATTGTAATATATTAAGAATATGGAAAACATTTCTTTTTTGTTCGATATGTATAGTGTGTGTTCCTTATGCTGCACATGCTAACAAAATGTAACAATGTCACTAAACAGCATATTATTGTCTTTTGTGACAATCGTGGGAAATAATTTAGAAGATTTGATTTTTTTGCTTTCTGGGTCCAATTTATGAAACAAAATGACAAAAAACAAATATGAGCTAAATAGTAGGCCTACACTAAAGTCAAGTCTGATTGTACACTGTCCTACATAACGAATACACATTAGCAACCAGAAACGGGGCTACATTTTCTCTAATTCAGAACAACACGGAGAATCAAGTGACGTTTAAAAACAAATAGTAATGCCATGAAGACCACTCCGGATGAAACTGAATAACCAAAGCAATCTTGAACCAGTAACTAAATAAACGCATGTGCATTTCTATTTCTAAAAGCGGAAAAAAATCAATCAGAATTTGCCTTCAAGGTTCTACTAATAGTGATCACGTGGCATCAATCTGGCAGTATTTATACTGCTATTAGCGATGTATAGATGACAATTTTACTGACATTATTTATCAATTGGAGATAAGGTACTTTAAAAAGAAAACTTTTCTCCCATTATTTACTTTGGGGTTAATTCAGACAGTTCTCGAGTGTTCTTGGACAGAGAAGCTTTAAAAAGAGGCGATTGCCGCAACTGTGTGTGCTGTGAATATTTACAGAGAATCAATTAAACAACGCGTGCCTATCATTGACTTATTTGCATGCTCACGTGATATAAAAAATCGTGGCACGTGACTAATGTGTCATGGCGTAAAAAAAAGGGGACATGGATTTGAATATTTTGACATTAAAGTTAAGCAACAAATTAACTGATGCTAATGAAAACGAAAATTAATTTAGTTGGCTGTCATTCTTATTTTCAGAATGTTAGTTCTGATTTTAAAAACGTTGTTTAAGATGTAAAATAATACTTCGCTTGTCTGCCTAAAATAAAACATTGTTTTTGTTATTAGCCTATCCTACGAAATATGTTTACTCTATTCCTATTTACAGAAATTATATACTCAAGTATGATAGAAATATTTCGTATTTACAAAAATTATATACTCAAGTATAATAGAAATATTTCCTATTTACAGAAATTATATAAAATGTATTCAAGTATAATAGAAATATTTCCTTCCTTCAAACATTATATAAAGTATAATGGAAATAGTTCATTTTTTTTCAGACAATATAAAGTGTAATAAAAAAAGACTTCCCATTTACAGAAATTGTATACAACTGTATAATAGAAAATTTCCTATTTAAAGAAATTATATACTAAAGAAAATGGTTCCTTTTTTAGAAACTATATACTAAAGTACCTATTTACAGAAATTGTATACAAATGTATAATAGAAATATATACAGAATATACAAAGTACAATATAACTGGTTATGAGTGTGAACTTTCCATAAAATGGAAACCGGTAAAAGATTAAACATAACAGTCTCGTGCGCGAAATTCTATAAGTTCTTATTTATCCGGGAAAATCATATAGGTAACATTTCTTTTATTAAATTCCAAGACAGTTTGTAAATTTTGGACTAGAACTGTGTTTTAAGTTCGAGAACCCATGCAGCATCAAATAAAGAGTTATTTGGTAATTGCTTCAAGATCATATTTGCAACCAGATATTAATAGATCTATTACGACTTGAGCGGATCTGATCCACGTTGGGCAAACAATATTTTATTCATAGTTATGATTGGCAGGCTAATCACTGATTATAGCAACAAATT